TTATTTATTTATTTATTTATTTATTTATTTATTTATTTATTTATTTATTTATTTAATATCTACATACCCCTCTTCAAAACGAAAGTTATATTTGCTTTCAAAGTTATCAACAGCTTCATCAAACTCATCTTCTTCGCTGTCATGATGTTCTGCAACCAATTCTTCATATGTTGGAATCCGAATTAAATCTTTGTCAACCCATCCACGATTAAGAATATATCTAAACATAATTAATTCGTAATAACCATGTTTATATCAAAAACATTGAAATCGATGAAAATTATATTGAATAAAATAAATACTCAGTTAAAAATGCTTCGTCATTGTCTACGTTAGGATTTTCTTTAAAATTTTGCCATTCTTTTATTTGATTTTCATTAACGTTATCCTTTTTAAAAAATAATAATAGTAAGTTTAAATTGAAAATTTTAAATAAAAATAAAAACATTGGTAACTTATTCACCATCGTCATATGTTCTAGTAAAAATTTTTGATAATCTTCTTCTTCAGTTCTTATTTCTTCAGCAGTTTTTGGCCGTTGAATAAAAAAATCATCATCATCATCATCATTAGTAACTATAGTAGAAGCCATTGCCTTGAGTTCCTCTTTCAATTTTTGTTCTTCTTCTATTGGTGTCAATTCAAGTTTCTTATTGTACGCTTTTGTAGATATATCATTATCACTATCACTGTCATCATTACCACCATTTTTTAATAAAATTTGACGATGATAATCTTTCAAATGTATTGGCTTCGTTCCAGACTAAATCATTGAAATAATAATAGTCAACAAAAGAATAATTTTAAAAATTTTTTAAATAACATAACATTACCTTTTTCTTTTTTTGTTTCTCTTGCAGACTAAATCATTGAAATAATAATAGTCAACAAAAGAATAATTTTAAAAATTTTTTAAATAACATAACATTACCTTTTTCTTTTTTTGTTTCTCTTGCCATTGTTTCCTTGCCTTTTCAATTTCTTCATCTTAATTTAAAAATAATATATGAGCAATGAAGAAATGTTTGAGTGACATAGATAAAAATTAATTACCAGCAAAAAAATTTGCTTGAGAATTATAAACTTTGGGATCTTTTGATCGTATCGCAGTTATAGTTTTCATTATTTGTGCATCCACCTCTGGAGTAATCAATTCGCCGTATTCGTCTTCCTCTTCAGAAGTTGAATCGCTAACTGCCACATCTTCGGAATTCAAATCAGAGCGATCATATTTTTCTTTTACTATAACAAACATTTAATATATTTTACAAATTAAATGCTAATTTCCTCTCTCCAAGTAACTCAAAGATGCATCAGTGATTAACTAAATTTACATTTGGATAATTCTTCGCCTCTTTTCCTTATTTCGTATTTTTTTGCATATTGATGATTGATTTTAAATTCAACAGGTTCGTCATCAAGATCCATTTTCTCAAATCTTTTTGCAATATAGCTCAGTAATATCAATAGTCGAGAAAATTGTTACTAAATCAAGTCATTTGTGCATTAATCACATGACAATCAATAAATGAATAAATATATAATTTATTACTATTATTATCACACATTGCTTACTCTATAGTACATGAGTAATAATAAAAATGTTAATTCATTACATTATATGATTATAATAATACAATAATATTAATAATATTAATACATAAATAAATAAATAAATTAATTCAATAAATAGATAAATTTATAATTATTCTAAATTAACTTTCCTGAATAAATAATGACAAAAATTATAGTATTATTAATAAGAATTTATGTAATATAATAGAACAGAACAGAGCAGAATATTATTCCTTACCATGGTCTTGGCATTAAAGCAATAGGCAGAACCCAAGTAGCTGCTAGTACAACACCATTACCAACATTTTGTGATTTAATAAGTGTAAATTGTAAACCAACCCATGCAGAAATTAAACCAAAATATGGTGAAATTGGAGATGAATTGCCTACCACAATATGTAATAATCCTAAAAATGAATTACTAACATTTTGTGCTTGATCTAATCTTCCCATACATTTTTGTGGTACATAAACTTCATATCCCCACCAATAAACATAACACGAAATAGTATTTAATGATGGTTTGATAATTTTATCTTTATTAGTTGAATTAGTTTTCAATGAATTGGCTTTAATAGTTGTTGTAATTGTAACATCTGTTGTTGAAGTTGATGATGATACAACAATTTTTGATCCATCTTTAATAGAACTAGTTTTAGTGATTGTTCCTTTACTATTAACATTAATAACATTTTCATTAATATTCACATCAATATTTGTTTGATCATCATCATCTTCTTCTTCTTCTTCTTCTCCTCCTTCTTCTTCTTCACTTCCAGACATCAATTCCTTCTCATCATTTTCTTTATTTTTAACATATACTGTATCTTTTGATAGAGGAATGGTAGCAGAAGATGTAGTATCAGATCCAGATAAATTTTTGATGCTATCATTTTTATCAATTTCCACACCAATACTAGTCACTAAAGGTGAATCAGGTTCTGGCATAGCTTTTAAAATTGATATCATTCTTTGAGCTGTAACATGATTTTGTAATGCCTTAACTGCTTTTTTACGTCTTCTTACCTCCTTTTTTTTACTTTTTGCATGATGACTGTGGTCAATTCCTAAAATAATATCTTTAACGGCATGTGCAAGATTTTCATGATCTGTTTCTTTTCTTTTTTTTATATTCCACCAAGAAAGCATTATTAATGTACACTTTAAAAAAAATTATTTTTGCATTAGAAACTCGTTTATCATACTCTTAAATCCATCGTCAAAAAATTTTTTTTCTCCTTTTTCTCCTGAATTCAAAGGGGCAAAAACTATAAATGTTATACAAAATTCTGTACACATCAGCATAGTGGAAATTTGAAATGTTACACTAATTTTTTATATTGTGCAATGTAGCTTTACAATACACAGCAAACATTCTAGCAATAAAAAGTAAGTGATAAACTGGATTTGAATTGGATCTGAACTTGATCTCCAATTTAGAGAGGTAACAACTATATACTGGCGAAGTTTCAGAAGCAATGAGTTCTGTATAACGTTTCGTGTAACAACAAACTTCCACTATGCTGTACACATCGCACACATTTAAATACATTAATTTAAATTCAAGTTTCACAAGTACATATGGGGTATGGACGAATTTGAGTTAATGGCACCCCTACATTGAACTCACTACAAGTATTAATTTTAGTTTAGAGAAATTATAAACGATGTAAATTAAAATGGGGAGTGATCAACAAAATACAGGGACATTAAAATTGTAACACAAAATGCTATAATAATAATAAAAAATTAATAAATTTTTTACATAAACCAACATAGTTCAGGTCAATATAGAAATTTATTATATGCGGATTTTTTAATGTTACACATATATATCATCAAAACATTATCCCCTAAACGGTTAATCGGCTATTGATAGCCGATAAAATTTTTCTGATATAAAAATTTTTTTCTGAGGCATCACTTTTCTAATACGAAAATTATCTTTGAGATTCAGCCGATTAACCTATAAATAAAAATCCAGTTGTTGTCCTTATGGTTTTTGTAAAATCTTCTTTAAAAGTTGGTCGATTGACTGTTTTTACTTTGCTGATCGTTAAATTGACCAATAAGAATGATCAAAACTTTAATTTGTGTTACCATTAAGAATGACCGTTTAAGAGATAGTAAAATCGTTGAAGATTTAGATAAACTTTAAAACGTAAAGGCTCAATAACCAAGCAGGTCGTGGGAATAATCTTTCCTCAATTGTATTTCCAAACACTCAATTAATAGCCTATCAGAGAGTTTTTTTCATTTATATTAGTAAAGAATTTTTTGTAAAGGTTCAAAGTTATCAATTTTGTTGATTTCGCTATAAAATGAAATTTAGATAAACTTTAAAATCTAAAGGCTCAATAACCAAACAAGCTGTGGGAATAACCATTCCGCGATTGTATTTCCAGACACTCAATTAATAACCGATCAGAGAGTTTTTTTAATTTTTATTAATAAAAAATTTTTTTGTAAAGGTTCAAAGTTGTCATTTTACTATTAACAATGGAAATTTAGATAAATTTCAAAATCTAAAGGCTCAATAACCAAACTAGCTGTGGGAATAATCTTTCCAC